CGCCAAAAAAAAAAAAAAAAATTATTTTATTTATTTTGATTTTAAGCCGTTTTAGTTAACAATAACAACACTGATACTGTAGAAGACAAATATCATTTGACTGATCAGTATGTGATGAATCCTCTCTTCTGACCGACAGAGACATGAAGTGGCCTGGACGGTTTTCTGTCTGGTTCTTGTGTTTGCAATTTGCTGGTTTCCTCTTCACCTCAGCAGGATCCTCAAGTTAACCATCTATGATGAACACGATCCCAACAGATGCAAATTACTGAGGTAAGACTCGTTATTAATATTATAATACATGCATATACATAAACACATATGAGCTCTATGTATGTAAACTGGTGAACTGCCTTATAAGTGATATCACATCTCTTATATATTTTTTATGTTTTAGCACGTTTCTTGTTCTCGACTACATCGGCCTCAACATGGCGTCTGTGAACTCGTGCATCAACCCAATGGCTCTGTATGTGGTCAGCAAAAGATTCAAAAACTACTTCAAGGTAACATGTGTTTCTCACTTCCTTGCTGCTGTTCCACATGTCACTTTACCTTCTCAAGTATTTCTGTAATATTTATTTCTCAATATTTTATTAAAGTGCATATTCCGAAGCATTTGGGACTGTAGCTAATAAATATTTTAATTGTTTTTATTATTTTTTATTCATTATATATATATATATATAAAATGATAATTATATATTTATAAAATGATATTGTCCTCTTGAATTCAACAGTTAAATGCTGTCAGTCACCCTAATTGAGTTCAGTTATGTTAATTGATTTTTTAATTTATTATTATTTATAAAATATATTTATATATTTGCATTTTTATATATTTATTTGGTAGTTATATCATTTATGTATTTATAACATGATATTGTCTTCTTATGTAGCTTCAATTTGAGTACTTTTTGTTAGTTAAATATTTTTTTATAAACGAGTATCTTAACTAAATCACTTTCAATGATAGATAGCTTTGACAGTATCTTTCTCAGCACTGGTTATTGTTGCGTTGCTCTGTCAATAAGATTACATTGAGAAAGCCTGTTAGTTTGTGCAGGTAAATAAACTGTATTCTTATTCATTGACAGCACATGATACAAAATTAAAAAAAAAAGCAAAACAGAATTAATTAGCATTTTTATTGGCATCACTGAAAGCGATTAAACAAGGATCACATCTTTAGATTAGTGGAGGCAGACTTTGTTTACAGATGAATTATGAATAAGCATTACGTATCGCAGGAAATTGGAAGTGACAGTAGGTGAACTGCGGATTCTTTTTATTTTATTCTCCCTGACCACAGTTTGACTTTACATAAAAAGTGACCTTGCGCAACAGAAAGCCATTAAACAAGGATCACATCTTTAGATTAGTGGAGGCAGATTTTCGCACACACTTTGTTTACAGATGAATTATGAATAAGTATTACGTATCGCGGGAAATTGGATGTGACAGCAGGTGAACTGCGCATTCTTTTCATTTTATTCTCCCTGACAGAGTGAAAAGTTTGAGTTTGACTTTACATAAAAGTGACCTTGCGCACAACATTTACATAAATCATGTATAATGCCTCATGTTAATCTGCTAATGCGCGTCATTTGCATAATGTTTAGCGAGTGCTGCATTTCATGTTATTCTGCCTGCATTGATTTCTCTGTTCGTTTCTATTACGGCTCATGTTAATATCGGTTTTACCATAATCCGGTGAACGAGAGTCCTGGTTAACACCTGCTCTGTGCTTCCTCTGACAGGCCACTCTCGTCGGTTGTTGTCGTTCATCCGAACCCGGATGACAGACAGACAGACAGACCGACAGACGGACGGACAGACGGACAGACAGACGGACGGATAGACAGACGGACAGACAGACCGACGGACGGACAGACGGACCGACGGACGGACAGACAGACCGACAGACAGACAGACTGACCGACCGACAGACAGCCAGACAAACACAGACAGACGGACGGACAGACAGACGGACGGACGGACGGACAGACGGATGGACAGACGGACGGACGGACAGACAGACGGACGGACGGACGGACAGACGGATGGACAGACGGACGGACGGACAGACAGACGGACGGACGGACGGACAGACGGATGGACAGACGGACGGACGGACAGACAGACGGACGGACGGACGGACAGACGGATGGACAGACGGACGGACGGACAGACAGACGGACGGACGGACGGACAGACGGATGGACAGACGGACGGACGGACAGACAGACGGACGGACGGACGGACAGACGGATGGACAGACGGACGGACGGACAGACAGACGGACGGACGGACGGACAGACGGATGGACAGACGGACGGACAGACGGACGGACAGACGGACGGATAGACAGACGGAAGACAGACAGACAGATAGACGGACGGACAGACAGACAGACAGACAGACAGACAGACAGACGGACAGACGGACCGACAGTAAATGCTGAATTGCAATATATAGTGTAAGTGTGATTTACTAGGCAAACAAATTTAGCAAACAATTATTATTTTATAGCTAGTCGTATATTACCACGCAACAGATGTATATGTGTAAAATGATTTGAAATCAACAACAAAAGATACACTAATGTTCAAATTTGTTAATGTTTTTGAAGAAATAATCTTCTGCTCACCAAGGCTGCATTTATTAGGTCAAAAATACAGAAAAATCTGTAATATTGTGAAAATTCTAATATGCTGATTTGCTGCTCAAGAAACATTTCTGATTATTATCAATGTTGTGCTGCTTCATGTTTTTGTGGAAACTGTGATACATTTTATTTTTCAGGATTCTCTGCTGAATAAAAATTTAAAAAGAACAGCGTTTGAAACATGTCTTTTGTGATATTATAAATGTCTTTAGTGTCACTTTTGATCAACTTAATGCATCCCTGCTGAATAAAAAAATATTAATACTTTTTTTTTAAATCCTGCTGACCCCAAACTTTTTTCATTTCTCAGCTGTTTGTGACCTGAGACTCATTTTAGGTCAGTATGAAGCATGTCTGCTAGTTGTATTATAAAGTGCAGTCATCGAGACAAGCCGTTACCTCACTAGCGTACCTTACCACGCTCTTCAGCGAACAAACTCTGTTTATTATTGTGCAGAAGACACTGCCATCATAACATTAGCTGTTGGCAGGTGAGCCACACATGATCCAGTCTCTCCAACACTCCCTCAGGGTTTGTTGACTCAATCCCAGCCATTACACAAAGTGCTGTTTTTCTTTTCCAGCACACATATATAGCGGTCGACACAGGTCATGAATCATCGCTCAAATGATCCAGGTGTTAGCCTGGATAAAACCGTGTAATTGGCCAGCCTTTGGCAGATAAATATAGATATAAGCAAATGTCAGCCACGAGAGCGCGTATATGTATCCGAATAATGAAGTCTCCATTCAGAAGTACACTTTTGATTAGCTGCTATATGTCCAAAACGTGACGGAAGTGATTAAAGCCCAGTGCACGCTCATCCCGAAGACAACGTGCTTTTCATCCGTCACTCAACAATGGAAATGCAGTAAATTGGCGACTCCGGTGGGTTTTCCTTCACACCGCTGAGTGACTGATTGATGACTAGCCTATTTGTAATGCATTTTTACATGTGTTGTGCATTGGGACACTTTACGGTAGACTTAAGGAGGAGACAGAGCGGCTATGACAGAATGAGGCCAGGAAGGAAAGGGTAGAAATAGTGAAAACACCTGATAGGCCTGTCAAAAGCGCAAGACAAGCCGAGATTGGAATATTTCCAACCGCTGCCTGCCTTTGACCCACATGTCTCTCAAATATTAGGATCGTTTTGGCAAATACTGTCAGCTAAATCTGGCTCTGTTCTGTCTGCATGTGAACAAGTGGATGATGAAATGGGAGTAGACGTGCAGAGAGAAGCGCTTGTGATGTACTGCTTATTATTGGCTTGCTATTGGTTCAGGGGAAGTGCATGAGAAATCCCAGCATAATTTAGTATGGTGCATATCCATTGGAGATTGTCCTCTGTATAGAAAAACATTAAAGGCCTTGGCAATATAGCTTGAAAAATTCTTATAATCTCTCTCTCTCTCTCTCTCTCTCTCTCCTCTCTCTCTCTCTCTCTCTCTCTATATATATATATACAGTATATGTAGAAGTATTCAAGGACTTTTAATTTGAAAAGGGATTTGAAAAATGGTGACCGGAAGTAGGGTGAGTGGAACTAATGCGACCATGAGAGAAGTTGGGAGTGTAAAAGATAAGCGGGGAGTAAAAAAAAATCTGAAACTTATATATATATATATATATATTTCTCATTGGTGTTGTATGTTATTATGTTCCGGAGCCTCAATCCTTAGCAGTCACTGCTACAAACGAGAAAAGCCTAATCATCAAGGCAAGCAAAACATAATTAAATGAATATTTACTGGAATCAGTTGAGCTAAGTGTGAGGACCTAGATCCTATATATATATATTTAGAATAAAAACAGTATTTTTCAAGGGCGTAGAATTTAGCAGGGACGCTAGGAATAGCAATAATTTTGATCACACAATTAAATATGTGTGTATGTAACCACTATTGTTGAAATTTAGGACGCATCTGAAATAGGTCATTGATATTACCCGAGAAGTTAAAGAAATACACTAGAAAACTGCACGCTTTCAAGGATACACATTTAATACGTGTGGAGTAAGAATATATAAGGGAGCAGAAGTATTTAAAACATACAAGCACAGTTCAAATGAATGATAAAGTTTACCCTCTTTAACTTAATGTTGTTCTGCTGTTTTGTGTTCATCGGCTTCTCCCATATAGACTCATACAATCAAATACAACAATCATTTCTCAAATGTTTATTACAATATATACTGATAAATTGAGCATTAATTTCAATGGTATGAGAGACTGGATGCTTTCAACTGATTTCCTCTTGAACTGTCTCCAACTGAACTGCAGTGCTCAAACCTTTTCAATGTGTGTATGTACACATTGAAATAGTTTGTGTATGTGTGTATATATATATATATAATGTATGTATGTATGCATGTATGTACAGTATGTATGTATGCATGTATTTATGTATGGATGGATGGTGTATATGTTGATTCAGCAACATAATTTGATTAAACATAATGATTTTTATAGAGTATTTTATTGAGTAATGGTTTTATCACTAAAATCTATCACCATATGCAAATGTATTCGATATAAAAAGCAAAATACCATTAAAAAAAAAACTGTTACTCAAACATCTGCATCTGCATATAGATACGGTTTAATGCATATTGTTTTCATGTCTCATGATATCCAGTCAGAGTCAGGCTGTAGTTGGCTGGTTTTCTTCTCCTCAGTATCTTGTTCTATCTGGAGCCGCTGAAGGGTTCAGTTCTTGCTGAAGGGCAAACTGCAGCGGCCAGATAATTTCTCCAGGTGGGAATTGATGCTGAATCTTTCTGTTAATGGCTCTGAGCTCCTGCCAGTGAGTCACTTATACCACAACGCTGAGGACATGCTGTCACACCAGCTTCTGGAGTCCTGGAGGAGAGTTTTCCCTTCGGTGGCTCGTTTCCAAGAGCGGCTGTTTAGTCAGATTGGTAAGAGTAAACTCTATTTACATATTTGCATTTAGCAGACACTTTTATCCAAAGTGACATACATTAGTTCATGCATTCACTGGGAATCGAACCCATGATGTTGAGCTACAGTAAAGCATGGCGCTAAAAGACTATTTTACATATTTTTGCATATATATGAGTTCCTGTGGCTCAGTGGTAGAGCATTGCGTTAGCAGCGCAGAAGGTCGTGTGTTCAATTCCCAGGGAACACTCACACTGGTAAAAAATGTATAGCCTGAATGCACTGTAAGTTGCTTTGGATAAAAGCGTCTGCTAAATGCATAAATAAAAAAATAAATAAATATTGCATTGGTTCTTGAGTACAATATACAGTGTAAAAACTCTTGACAGCTTCAAACACGTGCATGCAGAACCCTGTTTGTGTTTCTGACATGTCACGTTTCCTTGTCTCTCCACTGCCGGTTGCTGACAGAATATATTCAGAACACTGTTTTAGCCTTCAAGGCAGCTTGGGTCCATGTTACGAACAGTCGGTTATCAAACCGTACACCCCAGTGACCGCGGTCATGTCGTCTCGCTCAGCCATCTCTCGCACAGCAATTGTGGCTGGAATCTGCAGACTAATGGATAATAAATCTATGAATTATGGATGGGAAGAGAAAACTTTCCAAGAATAGTTCACATGCGTTAGTGTCCGATTACTGTAAGCATTAGAGGCACAAACATCATGATGTTCTTAAAGAGAACTTTTAGATATGTAAACTATAAATTAATTAAATAATAATTTGAAACACATCAAATGCTGATTTTGGCCCGATTCACCTCTTTGTTTTTCTGACCTTTTTGACTTTAGTAACCTGTTCTAGTATACAAATTGCATTTATGTATTTCTTTAATGTTATACATTTTATTTATATTTGTGATGTTTATTTCAAGAAAATAAATAATTATTACAGTTTTTCTCAATTGCTTTGGCTCAATTCTCGAATGAAACTTTTTTTTCCCGAAACAATAAGTTCAGATCTCTGAACAATTAGCTTCTTGTTCACATCAGATTGGAATTTCTTATTGATTTGAGCAAATTGCAAATGCTTTGGCACATGTGTGCAAACAGTAAGTACAATTGTCTGCAGTTTGCACAACAACTAATTGCATATGGCTTGTTGATCAAAACTGATGAGCCGACTGAAATAAAAATTAATTAAAACTACTGGAAATGTTTTTTTATGTTTTATGTTTTTTTTAATACAAAAATAATTGAAATGTCAAAAGCAGTACATAACAACATAACAAAAAATGACACCAAATTAAAATAATGAAAGTTAATTCAAAATATTAACAAAACCTATACATATTCTTAAACTAAAATTGCTTTGAGGTTGACATTCAACATTTTCTGAAGGTTAAGCTTCTCTTTTACTAACCATTTGCTGAAAAGGAAGAAACGACTGCGTTTCAGGCCGTCTTTTGTACCGTATTCCTGGAAAGTGCGAAATAATTTTTCACACACGTCTGAAAAGGAATGCCATTAATATTAGTGGTATGAAATGCTTTAATTAAATCCTCTCTGTCTCGGCGGTTCTCGGGTTAATTACACGGTGTAAAGTTAATTAAACAGCGGGGTTAGGAGCGCCGTGAACCCTCTGTGCTCCAGCGTTTGGTAAATGGCTGTTTTATAAGAAGTGACTGCAGTCATTTACCAGTGTGTGTTTTATATAATGTGTAGTTTCCCCAAAAGAGGTGGAGGGGGAAAGTGTTCTCACAAGTTATCAAAATCAAATCTGTCCTATAAATTAATTAGAAATGTTCTTTATAATGATTTGCTGCAAATTAGATGGAAATGAGATAAAATATTCATTGAACTATCTGGGGAATCTGCCCAACAGGCTTCAGTCTGGCTCCAAATGCTGTCCATATGGCAATTATGTGCAGCAGCGTTGCAGAAGTGTTGGTCTGATGCCTGCTGGCAGACGGAGGCAGATCTGCTCGTATCTGATGTGTGTGGAGTGAAAGATAATGAGATTGTTGTAAGTCTTAAGTACAGAACCTGCCCCGGGGTTCACACTTCAGAGCTGCTCCGATCTCTCCTGCTGTTTGCCTTTAAAAACGCATTTACTTCGTCTTCTCCACAAACTTCGAGTGCTGCTTTCAACAGCTGCTCTCTCTGATGCACAAACCGCTTTTGCTCGTAAAGTCTGCTGCAGTTTATTTGGCTTATTTTGGCTGAGAGATGCACGCTTACACCGTCTGAAACGGATTTGTTTGCTGTCAGAATTATCCCTGATTTGAAATCTGTTACTGAAGTGTAATTTTGGTCTTTTCTCCAATTAAAATAACAATTACTGTATGCAGAAAAATCTTAAACAAAACAAAATAGTAGAAATGCGTGTAGACTTGTATTCAAGCACTATTAAACAGTGCTGTTATTGTCAACTAAAACTAAAACCATCACTGTTTTGGCAATGAAAATTTGATAAAAATAAATAAATAATATAGATAGATAGATAGATAGATAGATAGGATATATATATATATATATATATAATGAAAAACATGAACACAAAATAAAAAAAAAATTACAAATGTTGTCTTGACAACTAACTAAAATAAATAATAATACTAAAATTACTACTACAAAAAAAAGAAAAATAGTTGGTATTGGAAATTTATATACAGTATATATATAT